GGGGGTCGGGGATTTACTGACCTGGGCCTGCAGGATCCTGCACCCGAGGCCCAGGCGAATGCGCCCCTGGCTCGTATTCGGAAGCTGGGCGAGGGCTGGCAAATCCGTGGCTGCCACCTCCCGGAAGAGAGACACCATCTCCCAGCGCTCCGTTTTACCAGCCACGGGTTTGCCAGCCTTGCAATTAAACTTTGCGCGGCCCGCCTAGCTCTTAACCGGAAGAGGCTCGCTCTCGACCCGCAGACCCCCCCCCAAAAAAAAGGGTTTGCCAGCCTTCGCCTGGCTTCCCACTGGCTCCACAGGGTCCTGCTGGAGCCCGCGCTCGGACCGGCACCCGTCGGCACCGACCCCCCCGTCGGCTTGAGCCCCGAGGGGGGGCTCGCGCGCAGCCTCCGGGGCGGCCGGGCGCAGCGGCCTCTCCTCTCCCTCGAAGAGGCCCCCCCGAAATGGGGTCGGAAGGTGGCGATGGCGGGCCCCGGAGGACCGGAGCCCCAAATCGGTGCCAGCTCCTGGGGGCTCGTGTTCGCCGCCTCCCGCCGGCGGAGGAAGCGATGCCGCCGCCCTCCGCCGAGGACGAGAGGCCGAGCCCTTTTTGATCCTCGAAGGCGGGGCTCTTCCTGGGGCGCCCTGAATGATGGGGGGTCCGCGCGCATGGGGTCGGAGGGTCACGCCGCATCCTCCCCAGTGGATCGGCGGTGCATCGGCGTGGAGAAGCGCGTGCTGCAGAACGAGCCGCATCGCCGGTGCATCGTGGATGCGGCGCGAGCCTCCGAGCGCGTGTCTGCTGGCCCCCTGTGGGAGGCCTGGGCTCCCAGAGTCCGAGGTTGCTGTCTTAGGGATCCTTCTTGGGTGAGGTACGCAGCCCCTCAGGGGCGCCCAGATGCAGGAGGGGCGCCGCGGGAACACCCATGGAAGATTCCAGGGAACTTTGGGTCCCGTCCGACACCAGAGTGACCATATCCCAGCGCTTGAGCCGCAGTCCTCCCGTCCTCCCTCCCTCTTCCTGCTCCCCCTGCTCCTCCTGCCCTCCTCCTCCTGCCCTCCTCCTCCTGCCCTCCTCCTCCTCCACCCTCCCTCCCGCCCTCCCCCTCGCTCCTGCTCCGGCACGCGCTTCTCCTCCTCTCCCCGCCCTCCCCCCCATCCTTCACCACCCTTCCCTGAAGCTCCTCCGTCCTCCGCCGCGGCCGCCGCCGCCGCCGTCGCCGACGCCGTCGCCGTCGTCGGGACACTGCCGTGGAGGACGGGGGCCCCGAGGGAAGCCGGCCTGGGACCGGGGGCCTCCTGGGGAGGCCCATGGCGTGCCCCCCCCCCGTGAGGCGCCGCCCTGGCCACGGCTCCTGCCGCGGGGGGCGCCAGGGCGCAGCCGCTGGGCGCCCCGCCGCGGTGGGCCCCGAGGCCGCCCGCCTCCAGGATTGCGTCTGCTCTGGGCAGCGCTGGTCCTCGCCGGAGCACCCTCCCTGGGGCCACTTTGTCGTCCCGGGCCGGCTCTCGACGGCCCCCGGGGGGCTCGGGGAGGCCCCCTCGCCCAAGAGCCCGAACGCGGCGAAGCGCCTCCAGGGCCCCGTTGCACCCTGGGGGTCAGGACTGCGGGATGGGCAGGAGGGGGATGTTGGCGGCGCGCACAAGGGGCTATGGGGGAGAGGGGCTGCGTCTTGGGAGGAGGCTGCTTCTCAGAAGGCTCCCCCCCCCTACTCTCCCTCTGCGCGCGGCCGAGGGAGGCAACAGGGGAAAACAAGACGGGAGAGCAAGATCGTATTGACTTGATGAGTTATTCCCCGCGGCTGTGGTCAATCTCGTATTGCTCTGGTGAGTTAAGTCCCACGGTTGAGGTCAATGTTGTCTTGGTTGTCTTGCGCTGGCGACTTGTCCTCCCCCATTCCCGATTCAATAGAGATGGCGCATCTCTGACGACCCCTCGCCTTCGAGGCGAGGACGGTCTGTCGGACTCGGCATTGCATCAGCCTGCGCGCCGTCTTGCTGAAGGCTCTCACCCTGAGAACCAGGGGAAGCACGCTTGCTGCGACCGCCAACTTCCACAACGAAGGGAGGCCCTGCCCTGAGTCCCAGCCAGCCCAACGCACAGAAACGAGGAGGAGGAGCAGGAGCAGAAGGCGGGACCGTGTCCATCCGTGCTCCCCGCTTTTCTCTCTATCCTTACCTCGTGGCTTTGTCCGACCTCCCCCGGCACCGGCTGGGGGAGGCCATCGAGGGCATCGGGGCGATCGCTCGACACTGTCCGTGTCACCGAATCACCGAGCAAGAGGCGAAAGACGCCGACGACGCTGTCGACGACGACGTGATGGTCCACGGCAAAGGAAGCCCGTGGGGAGCAGCTGCGGCCTGGGTGGTGCCGCGCCCCCCTCGCGCTCTCTCGGGGGCTGCAACTGGCCATCGCTCGGACGTCCATTCCCGGTGTTTTTTTTCGGATTCGTGCGTGGTTTTTGATGGGCCGACGGGGGAGGATTCGGGGAACGAGCAAGGACATGAGCATACAAACTCGGAGGTCCGCGCGGATGTCTCGGATCAGCACTCACCCCCCCTCCCTGGCGCGCGGAGCGCGCCAGGGGCGGCGCCAGAGGCGCCGCCAGGGGGCCCCAGCGCCGATCCGAGAAATCCGCGCGGACCTCCGAGCTTTTATGATTTTGCGTCATTTCTAGTTCCCCTGAGGATGCAAATGTACCCTGGGGAAGGCTGCTCATGCTTGCCACCAAAATTCGACTGTACAGCATCGGGCTGCGGCAGGTCCTTCGGGCCTGGGGCCTTTTGAGGGCTTCTGGCCTTCGGGCCCCAGGGCACCTCAGAGGCCTTTGGGCCTGCAGTCGTGACACACGGTGCTTTCGGGCCTCGGGGGCTGATGCCCACGGGCTGACAGAGTACGGAGCCATCGCGACGTAACGACCTACAGCCGGACCCAAAACAGATACACATCCTCCAAGAACATGGGACCGCCGGCCCGAACTGACCAACGTTAACGTTCGAGGGCGCCCTCCCCCGGGACGCACAAAAACCCCCAGCAGACACGAAGGACAATAGGGTACCCTCCCCGAACCGACCTTGATCTTGTACCTCGGTCCCCAGACCCCCGACGTCATGATTTTTTCTGAACGTCGACCCTCAAAGGCCTCGACCCATTCCCCTGGACCGGTTTTTCATCCTGAATTGCTTTTTGACGGTCCCGAGGCCGGGCGAGGGCCTCCCGACGCCAAAAATAACGAAAACCCTCCCGTCATATGATTTCTTCATTGCCCGAGGGGGTCCGGGTCCGGCCGTACGCGCGTCGGCTTCCGACACTGCTTGGATCGCTCGAGCTGCCGTGGCCGTGGCGATCCGACGGTGCAGCTGGCTCGGGAGCGGCCGACGCCGGGCCGCTGCCGGCGTTCCACCTCGAGCGGCCCCCGCGCCGGGGGCGCCGCCCAGTCGGCGCGGCGCGAGCCTCGGAAGCTGGGCGAAGGCTGGCAGATCCGTGGTTGCTGGAATAAGCTCGGCGCACTATACAATAACAATAAATGGGCTGCTTCCCGGGGAAAGAAAATTCCACATAGCTCCGTTTTAGCAGCCACGGCTTTACCAAACTTCGCCTGGCTTCTGAAAACCTGCCGCAATGAAAGGCCCCCAAGCGGTGCGATGACCACACCGCGTGGCGAGTCCGTGGGGGTGCGGGGTCACGAGGCAAGCGGGGTGTTTCTTGGCATGGGTTTCCACTGATGATTTTTTTTTATTCGGCGTTTCGACATTGGGCAGAGGGGGGGCTCCGCCTCTGCTTAGTGCGACTGTTTGGGGCCGTGCGTCTTATGGGGGTCGACCCCACCTGCTCGGAACTGGCGCCCCAAATACCCACGATCTCCTCCACGGGGGGGGGGGCGGGGAGGGGCGGGTGCGAGGGCCCGCGCCGATCGGCTAAAGGGTGAATCAAAGCACGCTCACCTGCAGTGGGGGGGGGCCATGAACTGTGTATGGGTTGGAGTATAAAAGGTACAGAACCCCTGATCCGTAGGTAGAGGAAGGAGGGAAAGATAGGGATCTTTTCCTCCTGTGCGACCAGCGTCCTGGTCTCTTCCAGTACCTGAGCCGATAGGGCAGGCAAAAGGGTGAGTGATGAGTAGAGATGAGGGAATGAGACGGGTTCCTTTCACATGAACGAGGGGGGCAGGACAGGTGCCGGGCCCCTTGAAGGCCCCATTGGCGCGGCCCCCTGAAGCGCCCCTCGCCCTGCAGCCCTCGCTGCGCCCCCCTCCCCTCGCCCCCCCCCCCCCCACGCTGCGCGGCCTCCGAGCCGCTCTCTCCGGTGGCGGACCGCACGGTGAGGGGCCTCCCGGGATCTCTTGAGGCCTCCGCGCGGTCCGCTCCTCCCCCCCGCGGCATGCGGGGCCCCCCGGTGCGCAGGGGCCAGCCCGGGGCCTCTGGAAGCCGGCAGGCCCGGAGGATGCAGGCGGGCGCACGCGGGCGCCGCCAGGGACCCGGAGGGCGCAGCACGCCCAAGATCCTCGGCCCTCGATCCTCAGTCCTCCTCCTCCTCCTTTTTTGACGTCGCGCGGACATAAATCAGATCCTCCTCCTCCTCCTCCTCCTCCTCCTCCTCCTCCTCCTCCTCGTCGTCCTCTCCTCATCGTCCTCTCCTCCTCGTGTCTCCTCGTCGTCCTCCTCGTCCTCCCTCGGGAGCTTGTCACTGGGGGGGCATCAAACGTGTGGCGCTCTGTGTATAACAGGGACGTCTCGAGGGCCCAGACCGAACGCTGTCTTCGCGCCCACGCGACGCTTGGCTTTTTCAAAACGCGGGTTCTGGAAATGCCGACCCTCTCCCCAGGGTCGGTGTTCCGTCCCGAGCTGCCTCTGGCCGGTCCCGAAGCCCAGCGAGGGCCCCTGGAGGCCGGAAACTGTTCCAAAAACCTGCCGCTACGGTTTTGTTTGCACGTCGGGAGCAGGTCGGGATGCAGGACGGGAAGCCGAGGCGCCCCATCGGTCGCCCGCACCGAGTCGCAGGATGGCGGGAGGGTGACGGCCTTGATGTTCTCGGCGAGCACTTTCAGCTGCCACTTGCCCTGCTCCAACCTCCCAGCGTGTCGCACCGAGTGGGAACCGAAGAGCGGCACTGGGAAGCACCCTCGCAGCTGACCCTCCCGTCTCTTCGTCGCGACCTGGGGCCGAAGCATGATGGTCAAGCTGCCGCCCGCCTGCCTCCTATTGCTGCTTGCGTTCATCCCCGCGCTGCCAATACCCCCTCCCTCCCTCCGATCGGACGGTACGCAAGTCAGCGGAGATCCTGACTCATCGGCGCGCCAGTGTATTGCAGGGGAAACCAGCTCGAAGAGCGTGTCACGAAATGCGGCGCGGAGGTCTCGTGGCCCTGGCATGTCCGTGACCACGGAAGCTGGCGGCGGCCACACCTCGGCTCAACTACCACACACTCTCCCTCACCCTGTGGTTGCGTGTGGGTTTTATCACTCCCTCGTGCACCAGCCTGGAACATATCCCTATCCCTATGCTGGGCCTCATCACGATGCCAATCTTGGGGATTCCCTCATTTTCTGAGGGCGCATCCCTGAGATTGTCATCGCCTCCTGGCGTGCCAATCTCAGGGATAGGGATAAGTTCCAGGCTGGTAATCTTGAGCGCTCTCTCCCTCTCCCTCTCTCCCTCTCCCTCTCTCTCTGTCGTTCCCCCCCTCCGCCTCGGCTCAGAGGAGGCGCGTGCCCCTGCGAGCCGACGTGCCCGCCCCCCCCCCCCCCAACGCCCGTGCACTCCTCCCGGCGAGGCCGGCTGCCCTGCGGCCTCGCCGGGAGGCCGAGGGCCAGCGCATGCCACCCAGGATACTCTGAACAGGCCCAGGGGCAAACGCAAAGAAGTAAACGCACGCGCACACACACACACACACACACACACACACACACACGCACACACACACGCAAAGAAGTAAACGCACGCACGCCGCACACACACACACACACACACACACACACACACACACGCACACACACACGCACAGCACACGCACACGCACACGCACACGCACCGCACACACACACGCACACGCACACGCACACGCAACGCACACGCACACGCACACGCACACGCGCACACGCACACGCACACGCACACGCACACGCACACGCACACCGCACACTCACACACACACCGCACACGCACACGCACACGCACACGCACACGCACACGCACACGCCGACGCAACGCACACGACACGCACACGCACGCACACGCACACGCACACAGCACACCAAACGCACACGCGCACGCGCACGCACGCACAAGCACGCACGCACGCACACACACGCACGCACGCACACGAACACGCACGCACGCACGCACGCACGCACGCACACGCACGCACGCACACACACACACAGGCACGCACGCACACGCACAACACACACGCACACAACACACACGCACACACGCACGCACGCACGTACGCACACACACACACACACACGCACGCACGCACGCACGCACGCGCGCACGCACGCACGCACGCACGCACGCACGCACGCACGCACGCGCACGCACGCACGCACGCACGCACGCACGCACGCACGCACGCACGCACGCACGCACGCACACACACACACACACACACACACACGCACGTCCCAGAATTCTCCAGATAAGCCCCTGTGTTATGGGTGCTCGTCTTCCCCTCCCTCCCATTCCCGTATATCTTCCCATATTTTCCGGGGAATCGAGGATTACCCGTGTCTGTGTTTCCCACCCCCCGCCCCCTCCTTCGATGTCTCTCCGCCTGCACGCCCCGCCGAGCACCTCTCCGCCTGCAGGCCGCGCGCCGCGATGGCCCGCCGCCGTGCGCTGCCTCACCCACCGCTCCGCCGCTGCGGGGCCCGCGCGCGCCACGCAGGGGCTTGCGTTAAGTCGGGCATGTCCCCCTACAGGGGGATTTCCGACGAAAAACAAAAAAAAAAAACCAAAATAATCAAAACGTAGTCCAAAAATGATCCGGGGACTGTTTTTTGGAGTATTGTTTGACCTTTTGGGGGTATCTTGGGGGTATGTTTCATTTTTCGTCGAAGATTCCCCTGTAGGGGGACACGCCCGACATAAGGCTCGCGTGCAGGCCGCCTGCGCGAGCATCAGGAATATCACCCGTTTCGCCCACGTCGGCCCAGAGACTTCGCCTCGGGCGTGCGTGCCGCTCCTCGGCAGGTCCCGCTGCCTTCCCGCGCCGCGAGGTCTCTGCGGAGCCCCGGGCGACGTCCGGGGAGACGTGCGCCCGGACCGGCCCCATGGCGACCCCGTGCGCCGGAGCTTCGCACGGAGACGTGCCTCGGGGCTCTCTTCCGCGAGGGATCCGAGCCGATCTTCAAGCTCTCCGGGTGCACACCCACGAACTGACGTGTGAACTCCGCCCTGATCTGCGGGCACTTGGCGGAGGAAAAGAAGGAGGAGAAAGGAGGAGCAAGGAGGAGGAGGAGGAGAAGGAGGAAAAGGAAGAGGAGCAAGAAGGAGGAGGAGGAGGAGGAGGAGGTAAAGGAGGAGGAGGTAAAGGAAGCAAAAGAGGAGGAGAAAGGAAGAGGGGGGGGAGGGAGGAGAGTGGGAGAAGGAGGCGGAGGATGGATGACGACGGGGAGGGTGGAGGAGGCCCTCGCGTGGGCGGGCGCTGAGCTCCGACGAGCTTCGTGAACTTCCCACACGCTCCCACACGCCGCTCCTCGTTTTTGCCTGCCACCCAGTGCTACTCAGGACGCCCGCGCCGCTGGGTCGGAGCAGCCCCGAGCCAGACGAGGCGGATGCCGACGAGGTCGGACTCCACGCCTCCCGCGCTTGCCTCCCCTCGCACGCCCCGCATGCGCGCCCGCGCGCACGCGGCTGCCGCGGCCGTCGGCCAGGCCATGGCCACTGGCTGGGACGCCGGCCCCCTGGTCCGACCGGAGGCCGAGGAGCCGCCGACGACGAGGACCAGGACGAGAGGAGGAGGGAGGAGGAGGAGGAGGAGGAGGAGGAGGAGGAGGAGGCGGAGGAGGAGGAGGAGGAGGAGGAGGAGGAGGAGGGAGGAGGAGGAGGAAGAGGAGGAGGAGGAGGACGAGGAGGAGGCTTCAAGACCGCGCGCCCCGCCTCCCCCCTGCCTGCAGCTCCCGCGCCCGCTCCAGGCTTCTCTGCTGCGCGGGCGCGGCTGGCACCCCACGCAGGCGGCGCTCGCCGCACGGGTGCGCTGCGCCGTGGCCGCCCGCCGCGCCCCGCTGCCCTGCCGGGCGTCCCCCCCCCCCCCCCCGGTAAGGCCACACGCCAGGAACGCTGCGGGCTCTCCTGCGTCGACGGCCTCGCTCCCAGCGCACCAGAGGAGCGGCCGAGCGGGGCGCGCGCACCCCCGTCGGCCAGACAGACTCTGTCCGCACCACTGGCGTGAGTGTGCGTGTGTGCGTGCGCGCGTGCGAGTTTGAGCGTGTGTGTGTGTGTGTGTGTGTGTGTGTGTGTGTGTGTGTGTGTGTGTGTGTGTGTGTGTGTGTGTGTCTCCCTCTCTCTCTCTCGCGCTCTTTCTACTCGTGCCTCCCACTCTCATTCTCGCCTTTTTTCTCAATTTCTCTCTCTCTCTCTCTCCCTCTCCTTCTATCTCTCTCTCTCTCTCTCTTCCTCTCCTTCTCTCCATCTATATCAGTCTCGCTCTCTCTCTCTCTCTCTATATATATATATATGTATGTATACATATGTATCTCTGCTATTTCGTTTATTTTGTTTTTGGGGGGTCTCTCTCTCTCTGTGTCTCTTTTCTTGTTTTCTTTCGAGAGAGAACAAACAAAACGAATGCGAATTATCCCAGAGATTGCCAAGAAGCCCTGGAGAGGAGCAAGGTGGCGAAGGACGAGGAGGACGAGGAAGGATGACAGAGGAGGAGAACGACGCTGCGGCTACGGAGGGTAGAAGAGCTGGGGCGGGCCTCGAACGAGACCTCATTCTTGCCGCGCCTATGCGACAATACGAGTGCGGGGCGCACCGCGGGCGGCTGGGTGGACTTCGGCTCAACTTCTCCGAGGGCGCCCAAGTTCCCAATAAGCGCGTCGCAGCACTCACGCAAAACGCCTGCACGACCGAACCCACTGGGCCATTCGTCTCTGGATCCCGCGCGGAACAGCAGGAAAACCCTGGAAGTCCTGACCCACAGCAATATCACAATACTTCGCGTTCCCCTGATCCCTCTCCAAACTCCACTAATGACCGCATCGTTCGCCTACTCAACGCGCGCATCGTTTGAGAATGGCCCAGGCGCGTGTTTGAAGCAACGCATCCAGCGCCCTACTTCCCGCCTGCTGCGATGGCCTCACTGCAGCCCCCTTGGCGGAAGCGGGGACCAGCCCGACGAGCAGATCTGCCGAACCCTCGCACAAGCAGCACCCCAGAGTCCACCAAAAAGGGGCAACGGGGAGACCGACACACCGGCTGCCCGCTTCGCCCGGTCCGGCAGCGTGTTCGCCCGAGAGACTTTCTCACACATGCCTCGGGAAGCGTGCTCTCGCCCCAATACCAGCTGCATGTTAGTGAAGGGGCCCCAGGATACACACAAATGAATACACACACACAAGTAAAATGATTCCCCATAGTTTCCCATACTTTCTGGGTTTTTGTCTTCACCACCACTTCCCATATTTTCCCATATTTTCTGGGGGGGTCGACGATGAATTGTGTCTGTGTTTTTTTTTCCTCTTGAGTGAGGTCCGGACGGCCACGATCCCTGGTACAGGATACACGGCAGTGCTCTCGCCCTTGTTCCGAGTCGTCGAGGTCCTGGACTGCCCGAGACTACCTACGCATGCATGTCTTCGCCAGGGGACCACCTACTCCTCGACCCGTCTCTTCACCTTTGCTGCCAATAGGACAGGAGAGCCCAGAACCGAATCGATAAGTCGGACTGGCGATCGAAATCAATCGGATCGGCGGAAATTGGCAGCTGAGTCGGGGAACATCGAATCGGCAGAAATCGGCAGGCTAGCAGGCCTCCGTTGAGAAATCGGGTCCCGAATCGGAATCCGAAATCGAATCGAATCGGAATCGAAACCCATCGAAATCGACTCGAATCGAATCGAAGGAATCGAAATGAGCCCTCTAAGGGTGCTCTGCTGGGGTAGCGCTTCTGCGAGTGGATGGGGGTGGCCCTCAGGGGCGTCCAAAGAGGGGGGCACCCAAGAAGGAGGGTGCGCATCGTGGCCTGAGACACGTGCGCGGACGAGGACAGGGGACCAACAACTTACCAGAATGAGCAAACTAGAGGGCAGAACATCCCCCCCCACAATAATCATCCCGACACGCGAAGCCGTTTAGTAATCGCACCCACTGATGGAATCGAACAAAGCAAAGCTGTTTAGTAAACGCCCTGACCGTTTCGTAAACGCGAATTATCGGGTCCGGGTGATTCTTCCTCCCATGGAAAAATCGGGGATGGACAGACCTCCCTTTAGTAAAACGTGGTTTAGTGAAAACGACCTGAGGCCCAAACCTGGCGGGCGCGAGCCTGGAAAATAACGGCCGCGGCGCCCTCTCGAGAACCGAACAAGGACAATTCACTAATCGACGTGTCACTGTTGGGGTGTCTGTCCACCCCCGAAAAAAAGAGCCCTGGAATCCAGGGAGATGTCAGTTGAGCAGGGGCCGACGTCGGTCAGTTAGTAGAATGCCTTAAACAACGTTCTTAGATCATCCGCCACCGTGCCTCTGAGCACGGAGTGGGCGTATCCTCAGGCCCTTGGCCTAATCCCTGGAGCCTCAGTCCTCAGTCCGGAGGAGTCGTTCAGGGGCCCAGAACCGAAATTGCCAAATCTCCTGGGGCTTCCCGCGGTTCTCCTGGGGTTCCCCGCATATTGTCGCATCATTTCTCGTGCCCAAGACGGCCTCCGGACGGGCCAAGAGGGCCCCACGAGGCCATCAAGACTGTCCAATATGGCCCCGAGTCGCCGAAGCATCGCTCCAAAACGCTCAAGATGGCCTCCAGACGGCCCAAGAGGCCTCCAAAACCCAAAGACGCCCCAAGAGGCCTCCAAGAGGACTCCCAAGAGGGCCCCAAGAGGCCAAACTCATTGAATGATTCCTAGGTGTTTGAAAGCTTTTAGCTTTCTCGCCTTCTCGGCTTCCCGCCTCTCCCTGAAGGCCCTAGAGGCCCAATAATGTCTGCCCCACGACGGCCCAAGCCCAAGAAGGCACCACGACAGCCTCAACAGGAACCCAAGAGAGGGAACACGCACCGAAAATCCTTGCCGCCTGTCCAACAAGGCCCCCAGGCCAAAAGAGGAGCCCAGGAAAGCTCAAGTGGCCCACAAGAGGCCCCCAAGAGGCCCGAAGAGGACCCCAGGAAGCCCAAAGGAGACCCCGATAGGTCCCCAAATGGCCCCCAAGAGGCCTCAAGACTGCCTCCAAGAGGCTCTCGATAGGCCTTCCATGCGACACCAACGAACATCCAATAGGCTTTATACCCACAGCCCAAGCACGGTGGGGGGATGGGCCGAAGGCCATTCGGAAACAACGGCTCCTTGAAACAAGACGGTCTCAACGAGAAATGTTCTGATAACATATAATCACAAGACCACAACAACCAATTATCAACACAATTTTTGGTGGGCCCATGGCCCCCTCCATGATATCCGGCCCCCCCCCCAATAATCAACCCCCTCTTGGGCGCCCCCGACGCTCCTCCCGTGCGCAGATCCGCACGTGTGAGGCGCGTGTCCTTGGGGACCGTATCCTCGCGACTGGGTGGTGGGCGTCCCGCCAAATTCGGATGCCAAGGGACACCCGCCTCCGCCACGCTCGGACTCGAAGAGACACCCATCCACCACGTGCGGGTCTCCGGGACACCCACCCAGAAAGGGCGCGGCCTCACCCCCCAATGATAGGAAACGATTCCACTGCGAAGACATACACTTTTGGGCGCCCCGCGTGGACTTCTTGGATCTGCGCCGGGCCCCCCTGCGGGGCGCGCGGAGTGCGCCAGGGGCGGCGCCGGAAGCGCCGCTGGGGGGGCCCCGCGCGGGTCCAAGACCTCCGCTTTTTAGTCAGCGGCCGCGGGCGAGCGCGCCGGCGGCGAGTCAGGTCAAAGCGTGCTACACAGAGACTAAATTAGGCAGAGGAAACGCCAGATAATGAAAGCAGAAGCGACGCGCAAGGGAACAGCTACGCGCCGGCCGAGGCCTCACGCAGCGGCCCAACGGCAGGTGAATGGCTGGAGGGACTGAAACACCAAGACCTCCGCGCGGAGCGCCCAAAACATTGATGTCCATGGCGCTTCTCTCCTACCTCGACTCCAACCGCCACGCGCGGGCGTCTCCAGGACGCCTACCCGGCTGGGGCGCCGCCTCGCCCCCCCGGTCCAGGCCCCCGCGTCGCACGTTTTCCGCAACGTCGACCCCCAGAAATCTGGATCCCTTCCCCAGGATTGAAAGAGCGTGTTCTACCGCTGCTGGCGGAAAACCGGGGGGGGTCACTACCGGTTCGAACCCCTCCCCCCCCCCCTCCGGAAAACCGGGGGGGGGTCACTACCGGTTCGAACCCCTCCCCCCCCCCCCCAAGCTCATCATGAAAAGGGGGGGGGGTCACTACCGGTTCGAACCCCCCCCCCCCCTCGAAAACCGAGCGGGGGTGCGGACAGTGGTGGGGACGGTGTTGGTGGGGACAGTGGTGAGGGGACAGCGGGACAGTGGTGGGGACAGTGGGGGGACAGTGGGACAGTGGTGGGGACGGTAGTGGTGGGGACAGTGGTGGGGACAATGGTGGGAACAGGGGGGACAGTGGACAGTGGTGGGAACGGTGGTGGTGGGGACAGTGGTGTGGGGACAGTGGGAATGAGGTGGAAACACTGGGACAGTGGAGGGTACAATGGTGGTGGGGACACTGGTAAAGGCGGTGGCGAGGACGGCGGTGGGACAATGGGACAGAGGTACAGTGGGGACAGTGGTGGGGACAGTGGGGACAGTGGTGGAAACAGTGGGACAGCTCAGTGGGACAGCGGAGGAGTCAGTGGGACAGTGGGGACAATGGGGATAGGCAGTGGTTGGGTCCGTGGAGACAGTGGGGAGAGTGGAACCGTGGTGGGAACAGTTGTGGGAACAGTGGGGACAGTGCGACAGTGGTGGGGGCATTGGTGGGGACAATAGGGACGGTGGTGGAACCAGTGGGGACAGTGGTGGTGAGGACAGTGGTGCTGGGAACAACAGTGGGGGATGTGATGCGAGCGGTGGTAGGGACTGGGAGTCGTTTGCTCGCGGTGCGTGGGGGGGGGTCGAACCGGTAGTGACCCCCCTGCGGTTTTCGAGGGGGGGGGGGTTCCAACCGGTAGTGACCCCTCCCGGTTTTCCGGATCCTGAGGGGGTGGGTTGGGGGGGGGGGGTAGGGGTTCGAACCGTAGTGACCCCTCTGGTTTTTCGAGGGGGAGGGAGGGGGGGGGCGGGGTTAGGTGGGAGGGGGGAGGTTTGCCGGGAGGGAAAGGGGGGGGGTGGGGGGGGGGGGGGGGGGGGGGGGGGGGACACCGTGGGGCGGGGGGGGGGGGGAGGGGGTGGTGGGGGGGGGGGGGGGGGGGGGGGGGGTGTGGGGGTGTGGGGGTGTAGGGGGGGTGAGGTGGGGGGGTGGGGGGGGTTGGTCCCGGCAGAGGGGGGGGGGGGGGAGGGTTGGTGGGTTTGTGGTGGGGGGGGTGGGATTTTCGGGAGGGGGGGTGGGGGGACCCCCGGGTTCCAGAGGAGAAGGTTGGCAATTTTCCACAGTAAAGCGGCGGTGGATCACGCTCTCTCCCAGGATTTGGACGCCCGGAATGGGTACGGAAAAGATGTGTACAATGCCCAACAACAAATGTTGTCCCAAACCAGAAGCGTCCGCTGTTGGGCAGGCGGCCTCCTGTCACGAATGGACACAAGCCGCGGCGGCGCGGACAACGAGTCCTGTTCAAAATGAACAGGAACTGCTGTTGGGCATTGTACCCATTCTTTCCGTGCCCATGTCGGGCGTCCAGACGGTTTTTCATTCGGAATGGTTTTTGTTGCGGTCTCGGGGCCCGGTGAGGGCCCCCAAGGGGTCGAGAATAATTCGTGGAGAGCTTGCCGTCGCGGTTTTTGCACAGCGCGGGGAGGTCTGGAACGACACAGCCTCCGACCGCCCCAAGGGGCGCGGCCTCTGGAACTCGGCCGACGAGGCGCTGACGGACACGGGCAGCGAGTCCGTCCTGGGCGGGCGCTCGAGGCGCGGCGCGGGGGCGCGCGGAGCCCCTCCACACGACGCCTCCGCGTTGGGCGTGCGAGGCGACCCCATCGGAGGCGAGCCTCAAGGGGAATGCCTAGAGGCCTCCTGGAAGGGGGCCCGAGTGCTCCGGGTTCGTCCATAAGCGTGGGGGGGTACCCCCCGACGGGAGTCAACCTCGCCTCGTCGTCGCGCCGCGACGGGGGTCAGAGCGCCGTCGGCGCGCGGTGGCTGCCCTCGACGGGGGTCGATACGGGACTGTCAGCGGGGGTGACGCGTGACGCCCACCCCGACGCTTATTCAAAAACTCGGAGTAGAGGCCTCCTAGATGGGGTCCGAATAGATGGGTCGGAGGATGGCGTCGCATCACCGATACATCGGCGATGCACTGGCGATGCATCGTCGAAGTCGGCGTGACGCAAGTCGGGCTCCACACCGGGCCGCATCGGCGATGCATCGACGATGCGGCGCGCTCCTTCGGCCCCATCTACTCCGACCCCACCTGGGAGGCCTAGAATGCAGAGGGGGCGGGCCTTCTCAGAAGGCTCCGAAAGCCTCGGGCCTTCTGGAAGGTTGTCCAGCCAGCCCTCCCTTGAATACGGAAGCGACTTCTCAGAAGGCCAGAGGGCTTCTGAGCAGCCCCACCGCCTTCTGAGAAGGCCTGCCCCGTGTTGCTTCTCTCTTGGGCGTGCCGCCGAACCTGAATCAACTGGGCTTTCATCGTCAAGATGGTCTGATAAATACGCAATTGTAACACTGAAACCGACTCGGGCGCTGTGGCAAACATATTGCGTAGACTGAAAGCTAGCGTGACCAACATACGGGCAAAAGGAAATGAACATATTGCGAGGTGCCCCTAAAGGCGTGGAGTACCTAAACAAGTAGCCCCCTTCTCCGCCTTCTCCTCCTCCTCCTCCTCCTCTTCCTCCTCCTCCTCCTCCTCCTCCTCCATTACCCCTTCCCACCTGCAAGGTGGGCCCTGTCCCAAAACCGCGCTTCGGTGCGGATCATCTGCCACCACCACCCTGCCCTCCTACATCGGCCCTCCTCCGCGAATGCGAGGCGGGGACCTGTCCACAACCGCTGCTGAGGGGATCGATCTCTGGGGGCGTCGGACAGTTGCGGACACGGATACGCTCGGGCCCTGAAGGGGGGGGGATGTACACGTCTACCGTCCGCCCGCCGAGGTCCCCGAATATCGATCCCCCAGGCGATTACGGATAAATCCACGCCTCGCATGAGCTCGGACAGATCTAAGGCAACGAAACACGACATAAACATAACTCGGAGGTCCGCGCGGACTTCTCGGATCGGCGCTGGACCCTCCTCCCTGGCGCGCGGAGCGCGCCAGGGGCGGCGCCTCAGGCGCCGCCGAGGCGGCCCAGCGCCGATGCGAGAAATCCGCGCCGAGCTCCGAGTCTTTATGCCTGTGTCATCTTTCGTTCCCCTGAGATCTCCCGAAGAGGCCCGAGGAGGAGGCCCCCGAAGAGGAGGTGAGCTCGAGGAGGAGGCCCCCGAAGAGGCCCGCTCGCGGGCTGAGCTCGAGGAGGCCCCCGAAGACCACGGCAGGCCGCCTCGAATCCCTCTGCAGGCCGAGGGGGCGGCGACCTGCGCGTCGACCCTCGGCCGAGGGGCACCGACTGCTATGCTCGAGGCGGGCCCTGCTCCTCGTGCTCGGCCCCCATCCGCAGCCCCCGTCCTCAGTCCCCCCCCCACGTGTCCCCCTCCCCCTCCCCCATCCCCCTCCCCCTCCCCCTCCCCCCTCCCTCCTCCTCTCTCCTCCTTCCTCCGTCCTCCTCCTCTCCTCCTCCTCCTCCTCCATCCCCTCCTTCCTCCTCCCCCCTCCTCCTCCCCCTCCTCCTCCCCTCCACCTCCCCCTCCCCCTCCCTCCTCACCCCCCCCCTCCTCCTCCTCCTCCTTCGCCTCGTCCTCCTCCTCCCGATCCTCCTCCTCCTCCCCTGCTCCCCTCCTCCTCCTCCACCTCCTCCTGCTCCCCTGCCTCCTCCTCCTCCTCCTCCTCCTCCTCCTCCTACCGCCATCCTGCTCCCCCTCCCCCTTCCCCCTCCCCCTCCTCCTCCACCTCCTGCTCCCCCTCCTCCTCCTCCTCCTCCTCCTCCTCCTCCTCCTCCTCCTCCTGCTCCCTCCTCCTGCCCCTCCCCTCCTGCTCCTCCCTCCACCTTACCTACTCCTCCTCCTCCCTCTCCTCTCCTCCGCCCCTCCCCCTCGCCGCCCCTCCGCCCCCTCCACAATTACTCAATATGAATAGTACTCTCCCTCTTCCCCTGATGACGGCTTGAAAATACTAGCCCCCCCCCCGCGTACTGTTTTTTACACACAAGTTTCCCCGGAGTTAGGTTTTCGCCTGCGTTTTTTTCACAAATGCTGCTCTAGCTGAGGCGCCGGCCTCATTTTCGGGCCCCGCTCGTTCCGAATCGTGCTCCCGCTGCAGCGCTGGCCTCATTTCCGTGCTTCCGCTCGTTCCGAATCGTGCTCCCGCTGCAGCGCTGGCCTCATTTCCGCGCTTCCGCTCGTTCCGACTCGTGCTCCCGCTGCAGCGCTGGCGTCATTTCCCGTGCCATGCCACGGCATGCAATGCAATGCTAGGTTGATACTACGCTTTGCGGTGCTCTTCTACGCCATGCCATGCCGTGCTCTACAATGCATCGCGTACCCTTTCGGGATCATTGCCCTGCTCGACATCCGACTGTGCGAGTAGAGAGGGGATCTGCGCCATGGTAAGGGATGGGAGGGAGGGGTAGGATGTCAGATATGACGCGAGCGCACCTAGCTTGCCCCCTCCCCCTCCCCCCCCCCCCCCCTCCTCCTCCCCTCCTCCTCCCCTCCTCCTCCTCCTCCGCCTCCTGGCTCCTCCTCCTCCCCCTCCTCCTCTCCTCCTCCTCCTCCCTCCTCCTCCTCCTCCTCCTCCTCCTCCTCCTCCCCCCTCCCCCCCCCCTCCTCCTCCTCCTCCTCCTCCCCCACGTCTGCCCCGCGAGCTTGGGCGCCGTGCCGCAAGCACTGAGCGGATTGTCCTCAGTTGAGTCTGCCGCGGGCGGCAGGTCTGGAGGTGGGCCTGGACGTCACGACGGATGATGACCATGTATGCTCGATGCGGCGCTTGAGCCGACCCTCCCGTCCTCATGTAGAGTAGAAGCCTCCAAAGAGGGATCGGGGTAGAGGGGGTCGGGGGATCGCCAACGCATGGCTGATGTCGGCGACGCATCGGCGCCGTCGGTGTGGAGAAACTCGGGCTCCACGTCGAGCCGCATCGCCGATGCGGCGCGATCATCCGACCCCATCTGCTCGGACCTCGTCTGGGAGGCCTAAATCCACCCCGTCCGTCCCTCCCACTCGACTCTCTCCTTTTCTCACCTCATCCACCTCGCCCCCTCCCCCTCCCGCGCGAGCCAGGTCTGCGGCGCGGGGAAACCGAGACGGCGCCAGCGTCGGTCCAGAGGCAGGGCAAAGGGCAACGACGCAAGAGCGGGGGCCCCGCCGACGCCCTCTCCCCGTCCCCAGCCTCTTCCTCATCTCCCTCCCTCTCCCTCTCCCTCTCCTCCCCCCCCTTCTCCTCCTCCTCCTCCCCCCCCTCCTCCTCCTCCTCCTCCTCCTCCTCCTCCTCCTCCTCCTCCTCCTCCTCCTCCTCCTCCTCCTCCCCTCCTCCTCCTCCTCCTCTCCTCCTCCTCCTCCTCCTCCTCCTCCTCCTCCTCCTCCTCCTCCTTCCCTGCTGCCCTTCTCCTCCTCCTCCTCCTCCTCCTCCTCCTCCTCCTCCTCCTCCTCCTCCTCCTCGTCTCTCCCCTTCGCTTCGGCAGGCCATCGGAGTGCGCCCGCGGCGTCCACGCCCCCCTCCCCCATCTCCTCCATCCCCCCCGTCGGAGGGGACCGGCACGCGCGCACGCGCGCGAGGGCGAGGCGTGGAGGCGCGCGCAGAGGGTGGGCGACCCGGGGGGGGGGGGGTCGTGGGCGGGCGGCGGGCAGCACGTGGCGCTGTCGGTGGGGAGGTTGCTCGCGTTCTTGGGGGGAGCGTGTGCCGTCGGCCCGAGGCCGCAACGCCAGAGGACCGCGGAGCTCGGCGCGGCCCCGGGCGCCGCCCTCGAGGGCGACCCCGCACGCGGCCGCCGGAGGCATCGGGTGTTGGAGGGGGGGGGTCCAGCGCCGACCCCCGGAATACCGAGCGGGCCTCCGAGAGCTGACCGCTGCCTGCGCAGAGAGCCCCATGCGAGGATCCCTCCCTGCAGAGGCGCGAGCGCGGGCTGCTCGCAGCGAGGGCGATCTCCCGAGGCAGGCGTCGGCGACGACCCTCGGGTGCGCCCCAGAGCAGTCCAGGGAAGTCCTGTGACGGCCTCTTCCTCCTCCTCCTCCTCCTCCTCTTCCTCCTCCTCCTCCTCATCCTCCTCCACCTCCTTCTCCTCCTCCTCCTCCTGCTGCTCGACCTCCCCCTCCCCCTCCCCCTCCCCGCCCCCTCCCCTCCCCCTCCACCTCCCCCTCCCCCTCCTCCTCCTCTCCTCCTCCTCCTCCTCCTCCTTCCTCCTCATCCTCATCATCACCATCATCACCTCATCACCATCATCACCATCATCTCTCACCACCACCACCACCACCACCACCACCCATCACCATCACCATCACCATCACCATCACCATCACCATCACCATCATCATCATCATCATCATCATCATCATCATCATCATCATCATCATCATCATCAGGGGAGGGGACTGGCTTAGGGGGGGGGAGCCATCGCACTGGCATCGGCGACTCGTCGCCGAGAGATCGGCGATGGGCCCCCTATGGCGAATCTGCACGTTCCTGGGCGCGGTGACTTCCTATCTGCGACCGACCCCTGAGCCTATCCCCCCCTACCCATCGGTCGGAAAAAATAGGTAAAACATGAAGTAGGGGGGCGGATGAAGCAAATTGGGTCCAGGCCCTCCCAGATAAAAAAACAAAGCACCGCAACAGCAGATGAGTTCTTGAGGTAGGAAGGCGCTTCAAGTAGATTTGGGATCTGGGACTTCAGAGATATGTACATTCAACGACCGACGGTAACGTTGGTCCAAAAGATGTGCTCCTCCTAAGCAGAAGCCAGAATTTGCATGAATCCCGCCGCCTCTGGCGGGGCCCATACCAAAGCAAAGCCCGCCTCGGGTACAGCCGGGACTGGTTGCAGATGACACCCAGGAGGACACACGACTCTTCCGAGGGCAAACCTGGACCAGGACATGGAGATGACGTGGTGCGCCATAGGCAGGACACAAGGCAGAAGAGCCCAGAATCGAATTGACAAATGCGACCGGTGATCGAAATTAATCGGATCGGACGAAATCGGCAGCCGAGCCGGGAAAATTCGAATCGGATAAAATCGGCAGACTAGTAAAAGTCCATGGAGAGCTCGTAATCCACATTGGACTCCGCAATCGAATCGACTCGGAATCGGAAGCCATCGAGATCGAGTCGAAACGAATCGGAGGAAACGACACGAGCCCTGCAAGGTGCCCTTGACGTTGCAGGCTTCAGAGATCCGTGCGGACGAAAGCCTGTGCTCACTCACCGCTTCATCCTTCGAACCTCGTCACGCGCCAGGCCGCCGCGACGACCGGCCCCCGACGGCCATCACAGGGCGCAGCGGGGACGGGGAGAGCACAGCGATGCGGCGCCACTAGTTAGTGATCAGCAAGAACAGTGTCCCTATCCCTTTGGGAGGGGACCCAAGTTGGGAGGGTCGAGCACATTAGGGATACAGAGTAATAGATTCGGCAGATGTAGAAAACAAGCCGCCCAGGCCTATTATCCCTAGTGCGGAGGCGGGGACCAAAATTGGGCTGCGTCTTCATTATGTTGTTAGGGTTAGGGGTTCTTGCATTCTCGATTAACCACCCTATTTGGGCGGGCCATGGAGATCTCCACTTCGACGCCTCGGCAACCTTTCGTCGCGGGCCGAGGGGCCCCGAAGACCGCAAGGAGGCCCCCAAACGGCGTCCCAAGAGGCCTTCAAGAGGCACCCAGGAGGCATCCCAAGAGACTCCGAATGATGCCACGCTCCTCCGAGAAGGGCAACTCCTCTGGGCATTGTCCCTGGATGGACTGGTGGGGAACGTGGACTGGTGGGGAACGCGAACCATAACGTGTTTTTTCGTCGCGGGCAGATTTTTTCTGATGCCTCGCATGCCCGAACTTGGTACAGACGACATGTGCACGATGTACAACAGAAAGTGCTGTGCAACACCGACAGCGGCCGCTGTTGGGCAAGCGCTCTCGTCCCAAGTGGGCGAAGTTCGCGGCGACGCCGGCAGCGAGTCCGCTCAAAATGGGTAGGACCCGCTCTCGGTCTTCGTCCCCATCCGTTCCGCACACGTGTCGATCGCACCGAGATGCCCTAAATTAGGCCGGGCATGTCCCCGTACAGGGGGGGGTTCGACGACAAATCAAAAATGGTCAAACCATACCCCCAGATGGTCAACAAATGCTCGAAAGACAGTCCCCAGGCTATTTGCTGGACTGTTCTGGAATACTCCCCCTGTAGAGGGACAGGCCCGACTCAACCCTGGAGCCCGCAAGCGACGCCCAGCGTCCACCGTCGCGAGCGCAAGCAGGTCGTGGCGTGCCCGCGGAGCCTGGAGGGGCCTTCGCGTGCGGCAGGCGGCGGCCCGCTCGCGGCGCGAAGACGTCGCAACACGGGCGCTCCGTGAGGCCGATTCGCGGCTCGCGTCCGGCCTCGAGCGCTCGCGAGGGCCCTCCGACAGCGCACGCCGCTCGCTGCCGACGGCTCCTGGACCCCTGGCGGCGCTCCGGCTGGAGAGCCCGCGCCAGGCTGGCCGCCTCGCGCGGAGGAGCGGGGCCCTGCGCCCTGGCCTCCGCTGCGCCCAGCTGCACGAGTCACGCCAGGGGGGGACCAGCCTGTGGGAGAAAGAACCCACACTGTGGGGAAAAACGCACACACACAGAGTGCGTTCTGTGTTTATGATCCACCGTGTGCTCTGCTTATTCTCCACCGTGTGCTTTGTGTTTATCCTCCACACTGTGTGTGTGTTCTGTGTTCACCGTGTGTTGTGTTTATTATCCACCGTGTGTTGCGTGTTTATTATCCACACCGCGTGTTCTGTGTGTGTTGTGTTTATTCTCCACCGTGTGTTTTGTAGGAGAAAGAACCCACACTGTGTGTGTGTTCTGTGTTTATTCCCCACCGTGTGTTTTGTTTATGTGCTTTTCTCCGCCGGCCCAGGGAGCATCGGCACCCCCTCCGAAAACCAGCGTCGGGGGCGCTAGGGAGGGGGGCGCCCAAGAGGGGGTTCGCAGATCATGATCCGAGGCACTTTCGCATCGCAGGGGGGTTGGGCCAGGGGACGTGGTGCAAGAGAACCAGATGATAATAATCATCAGCATCATAAGAAGAAGAAGAAGAAGAAGAAAAAAAATAAGAAGAAGAGGATGGGGCCCATCCAGTAGCCCTCGGCCCCCTCATGGACGCCCCCGACAGCGTGGGCCCTACCGCCCGTGTGTGCGATATGCTATCCGCCGTGGGCGGTGAGGCCGCCCGGGGGCCTCTTCGAGGCCATCGGCAAGAAGGTGTTGCGGCCGCGCTCGTCCCTGTTGAGGGACTCGTACTGCCGCTTGGCTCCCTCGCGAAGCAGCCAGCGCGGGGGGAGGAGGAGTCGCGCAGGAGATCCACTGCAAAAATTGATGTACGCCAGAACTGCTTGCTTCCGTTGGGTAACTATGCGGAGAATGCGTAGCACGGTCCGTAGATCTACGGAGCATGTCACGTTTGTTGTCAGCATGCTGTACTCCAGATTTCGTAATAAAGGGAGGGGGGTCTCATTTCGGGGGGGTCTCTTCCAGGCTATCTTGGAGGGCCTGGGGGGTCTGGGGACGATGTTTTGGGGGGTTCTCCCACGGGCGAGGTCTGAAATGGCTTGTCTTGGAGGGTCCATACCCCCTCCCTTTTATGACGAAATCAGGAGTAGCCTATCTCCTACTCGACGGAGGGGGCCCATCCTTCTTTTTTTTTTCTCTCTCTCTCTCTCTGCCCCGGCCATCGCTCGGACGTCCGTTCCCCGTGCTTTGCTGTTCGACTCCGTGCGCGCAGCTTTCCGCACGATGATCAGCACATCTCCTCGGACAGACCGATTCCCCGCCACCACCACCATAGGCAGGGAGGGGTAGGAGGAAGAAGAGGAATATAACCTGCCAATCCGCCCTTATCCCCCTTCTCCCCCTTCCTGCCTGCGGCAGTTCTGGCGGAGAAGTGGCCCATCATCCCCGATGCCCCTCGCCAGGAGAAACGCACACGTCCGAGCGATGCCAAATGGGGGCCCCCCTCCTCCCCAACGGGCCGAGTGTGGCCAGCGACCCCCTCGAGAGTCGATGGGGGGAGGCGTTGGAGCTTCTCCAGCGTTTCCTCGGGCCTCTGGAAGCCTCCTGTGGGGCCTCCAGGGGCAGGATGCGGGCCGGGAGGAGAACTTACCACCGCCTTTTCCTCATTTCCTCTTGCCTCCTCTTTCCTCCTCCTCCTCCTCCTCCTCCTCCTCCTCCTCCTCCTCCTCCTCTTGCCTCCTTCCTCCTCCTCCTCCTCGGAGTTGGAAGCCCGACGCAGGGGGAGAGGAGGGACGACGAGGGGGCAGGAAGGATGATGGGGTCACAGAAGTGGGCCGAGGAGGGATGGGGAGAGAGGGGGGGTGAAGGGGGTGGAGGAGGAGGGACGATGGGGGGAGGGGGGAGGAGGGATGATGGGGAGGGGGATGAGAACGGGGCGGAGGACAAAGGCGAGCTAAGAGGGGAAGAGGAGCTGGGAGGAGGGAGGCAAGGAGACGGAAGACGACGACGGGAGAGGCGGGAGTACAGTGAAGACGTCTAGTACAGTGGAGGCCAGTCCACAAGAAACATTTCACAAGAAACCCAATCCTGAGACCCTTGGACGTCCACTGATTGTTGGTGTGGGAACGTCACGGTCTCCCCATAGAAAACCATCGACACCCAGGACACCCTGAAGGCAAACAGGGTGTTTCTTGGCATCGGTGTCCACTGTAAGGGCGGGAAGAAATGACGCAAGACCCTCTGAGGCCAAAATGTGGATGTGTTTGGCGGCGGGCGACCAATACCACAAGGACGCAGTGGTAACCTAACCCGCAAGTGGCCCCAGAGGCAAGGACACAATCGTACCCTAGAAAAAAGCGCGCATCATTGCTATGCGCGTTGACTGTAGCCACGAGGAAGGGATGAGGAAGGGGCAGGCAAGAGGAGGGAAACTTACCGAGCTCGTTATAGGCTTAAGGGTGCCTGCACCCCTCGTCAAAGAGGAAACAATCGTCGGCAGAATACGGGAAACTACTTGCGAATGCTCCGTGTTGTCGAAAACCACTGTTGGTCGGACAACGGGCCACATCCACAGAGAAACTGGGGTGGCCGAAATCTCATACCACTGGCCGTAGTGGAGCAACTCCACGGGGAATGTGTGTATCCAGATGCCACCAATTTGAGACTGTAAGGCTTCGGCCATGCTTTGGAAAGTTCTGCGGTTATACACCAATTGGGTTTCGCTCGATTGCGGAATTCGTGGCTTCTTTGCTCTGGAATTCCTTGCAGCGCAAGGCCTCCGCCGTTGTTCAATCAGGTCGCACGAAGGCTCGTGCTTTGCATCGCACGTAGCGCGGAACATGATACTACGTGCGACCTCACGAGGGCCCCAAAAAGGGGTGGGAGGGAGGCACACTCCGGCCGAGGCCTCGGAGCGCGATGTGCAATTGTCTTCGCCCTCCAGCGTGTGACCTACAGAAGGGGCCCGACCACAAGAGACCCACCCCTGAGACCCCAGGACGTCCATGGACTTTGTGTGGGAACGCCACGCTCTCCATCGCAAAACCCTCGAAACCCATGAAACCCAGGGCACCCTGGAGGTAGGCAGGATGTTTCTCGGCATGGGCCTCCCCTGTAGTCTCGGGCGGGCTTCAACCAACGTTTGCGGGCCGCGCGTACTGGACTTGTGGCGTCGAGCCATGGCCTCTCACGGCCCCGTCCGTCACGTCCGGCTCCCCTCCCCTCGGGACCTTAGGATGCGAGACGCCCCAACACTAGGGGAACGACGAATGCCATAAACAGATCAACTCGGAGGTCCGCGCGAATTTCCCGGAGCGGCGCTGGGGCCCCCTCACATCATTCATGCATCTGTTCATGACCCGAGAGGGCCCCACCCACTGGGTATTCTTTGTGGGGGGGCAACCTGCTTCCGCTTGACGAGCAACCGCAAGGCGGCATGAAGCCTGCCAATGCCTCCGTACACCACAGCAGCCGCGTGCACCTCAGCACCACGTCGACTATGTACACCGCAGTGCCTGTTGCCTGTGTAACCTGCAGCTGCCGTTTGCGCACCTCGTTGTCTGCGTGCACCAGAGCGCCTGTGTACAGCACAGCGCCTATGTACATCACAGCAAGAACCGCAGAACCTGCGCACGCCACAATGCCTCCGTGCACACCAACGCCTGTGTACACCGGAAGGCCAAACGTCCCAAGGGGCACATCAATAGCTTGCGAGGCCTCCTTGCGGGGCTCGCCACAGACCACTCAGGCCTTCAGGACTCCTCATTCATCTCATCCTCCTCCACCTCCTCCGCTTCCTCCTCCTGCACCTCCACCTCCCTGTCCTCATGTTCTCCTCTTTCAGCGGTGTTAACGGCCTTCGTTAAGGGAGGGGGGTACGGAGCGGAGGGGGAGCAGCAGGAGCAAGAGGAGCAGCAACAAGAGGAACATCAAGAGCCTCACGATGGGGACGAAAGCTCCAGCGCCGTGGAAATCTCGAAACAACACATGCATTCAGGCACTCGTGCTCCCCGCGCAATGCATGCACTGGTGCCGACATTGGTAGCACCACACAGGTTGCATCGCGTGCCCTGCGCGTCAAGTAAACGAGTAACTGTTTGGGGCCCACGTGCGCCAACGTGTTCTTGCTCGACGTCGGTCCCCCGACCCGCCGCCCTCCGAGCAAGGCACCGTGGCAGTGAATCCGCCTGACCCAAGCGCACCGTAATAGCCTGCAAGCGCAACAGCACGCACACCACGCATGTGAGCACCGAAACATGCCTTTCGGCACCACGCCATGCCTGTGAGCTCTGCGCCGCAACAGGTGGGGAGCCTCTGAGCGCCACAACATGTTTATGAGCACCAAAGCATGCCTTTCAGCACCACGCCATGCCTGTGAGCACAGTCCGCCCCCTTAGCATGACTGGGGGGGTCCAGGCCTCCCCGCCCAAACCGAGCGATAGCGTTACCCGAGAAAAGCGGTTTGGCCCGGGTAACAAGCGTTACGCCGGGGACGAAACAAAAAACGCTCACAATGGGCTCAGACGCCCACTGGTCTCCGAAAAAGGACCCTTTGGCGTCTGGTGTTGAGGAGACCATGGCCCCAAGTGGCCTAACCCAAACGTGGTCGCGTTGTGACACAAAAACACGACGGATCATTTCTGGCCAAATTCAGCCTGTTGGGACATTCGCCCGTTCTCGGGACTGTCAAACAACCGGCCCTGGGGAAAAGGGTCGGGACTTTCCGAACTGCGCATTGAAAAATCAAAGAAAGCATCTCGTGTCTGGGAACAGCTTCTCTAGGGAAGCCCATACAGATGTCCTCCAGAACACCACTCACCAGGCCCCAAACTACCTCCAGAGGACGAGGACCGACCACAGCCCTCTTGAACTCGGGTCCCCGACCCCTCCTAGGATCTATCCTGGCTAGCTCAAAACTCCAGAACGATACTTTCGGGTCAACAATTGGTATAGACATAATTTCTCGGAGGTCCGCGCGAATTTCTTGGATCGGCGCTGGGCTCCCTTCCCTGGCGCGCGTAACGCGCCAAGGGCGGCGCGGGAGGCGCCGCTAGGGGGACCCAAAGCCGATCCAGAAACTCCGCGCAGACAGCCGAGCAATTTTGGTTATGCAATTGTTGTTCTTCGATTCTGGACCCTCCTCTACCTATCCCCGGTGGGAGGCGCAGCGGCCCGGTGCCGCGCGCTTCTCGGTGTCGTCGTCATCGTCGTCGTCGTCGTCGTCAGCGTCGGCAGCGTCGGCGGCGACGTCATCATGGCCTGGGGACGGGGAAGCGGCACCGCCGGAAAAAAATGTGCTTGTGCAAATGCTTGGGCGCCCGAGTTATCCGGGGTAACTCGGGTCCGGGGTAACTCGGGTTTGGATTCCCGAAAAAGAAACCCGAGTTATCCCTGACCCGAGTTACCCCTGATGATTCGGGGCTCTGGACGCCCGAGTTATCCGGGGTAACTCGGGTCCGGGGTAACTCGGGTTTGGATTCCCGAAAAACGAACCCGAATTATCCCTGACCCGAGTTACCCCTGATGATTCGGGGCTCTGAGTTGCTGCTCTTCGCATCCTGGGGCTCCTCTTGGGAAACGGGGGTGCCTGCGCGGAGAACCCGTGCGGACGGCCCAGGGCGCCACGAGGAGCCCCCCAAAGGGGGCAACGGGGCGGCGGCAGCACCCGGCCCGAGATCCTCGTCCCGAGGGGCCGCCGCCGGCGGCGACCCGCCGCCGCAGGAAAGCTCCGCCGCCCCTGCGGCCCCCGCGGGGCAGGACTGAAGGGGCCCTGGGACACACAAATGAATGCACACAAAGAACCGGGAGCTCCGCGAGCTCCGACAGTGTATGTGTGTGTATGCAGCGCACTTGATTGTGTTGCAATCCTCGACGCCCTCCTCTGCCCAAGCCCGAGGGGCGAACGATAGGACTAGCTCAAGGGGGGACGCGTTGACCTGGGATGGGCGATACTGAAGGGGCCCCAGGACACACAAATGAATACACACAAATAAAAAGATGCCCCATATGTTCCTATATTTTCGAGGTTTTTGTCTTCCCCCCCCACTTCCCAAATGTTCCCATCTTTTCGGGGGAATCGTCGGTTCATTGTGTCCGTGTGTGTTTTTTGTCCCTCGGGAAAAACCAGCGGCGAGGCAGCAGCCACGGAGCGCGCGCGGACCTCCGCTTTTTCGAAAATGGGGGGGGGGGGGGGGGCAGAGCTCCGAGCCGCCGTCCAGGCTGCCCGACGAGCTCCTCTCTCCTGGCTCGCCGCGCCGGCTCCACGAACTGCGGCGGGGCGCTGCCCCGCTGGGTCTCGCCAGCGCAGCTGCGGGCGCCGGGCGGCCCGACGTCTCGCAGCGGTGGCCGAGGTGATCTCGCCGGCGGCTGCTGCGTGCCTCCTGCTGCGAGTTCGGCCCGTCGGCCACCAGGCGGCAAAACGGCGCTGCTCGCGGGTCTGTAGGCAGAGGTGGGCGCCGTAGCTCTGAGTGCTTTGCGGGACAACGGCGAACTCGCGAGTTTCGTCCCACTCTCGCCGCACAGCGGATGCCGGCCCTTCAAGAGCCGCCTCCTCTCGTGCAGTGCCGCCTCAGTTGTCTTCCACCAGGGCGTGCCGTCGAGGAGGAAGAGGAGCGGAGCGGGGCCTGAGAAAACTGCGAGAACTGTCATATACCCCCGCATGTGCGGATAAGATTGACGACGGCGGCGGGGTCGAAGGCAGCCTGCGAGGCAGTGGAAAAACTCGCAGCAGGCGCCGAACCTGTACACATCACACATCGAGCCCGCCGCAGGCGCCGAATGTTCGTCAAAGCAACGTGGGTGCGTTGCGGGTGGGACGCGGATTGGGGTCGCGGATTGAGGTCGCGGGCGGATCGCGGGTGGGTCGCGGGCGGGTCGCTGGTAGATCGCGAGTGGGCAGCAGGCGGATCGCGGGCGAGGACGACGACACCGTCAACAAACAACACGCAGAGTCCGCGCTGCGGAATCCCACTGCAGCCACGCACCCAGGGGCGGTGCAAGACCGTTCGGCCTCTCACTCTGCGATCAAGGCAAGCTAAACTCGCGCTTCGGGCTGCGCGACTCGCTTCGCGCTCTCGAGCCGACACCCCCGGGGAGAAGAAGAGGACGAGGATGGTGAGGAGTAGCGAATCGCGAGAAGAGCATAACCCCTCGTGGGAAACCAACAGACACCGATACCACCGCTCCCCGGAACCGCTGCTGGGGTGCGCTCGGGCCAGGATTCCGAGGCGCGTCCAGCGGTGGGTCAGAGGGCCTCCCAGGAGGCCCAATCAACCGAAAACGAGGCAAGGGCCGTCGTCGTCGTCGTCGTCGTCGTGAAGGTCGTCGTCGTCGTCTGATGCATGCTTGGTCCTCGCGCAGCCGCCAGCCCCCACTGGCGACGACGGCCCCCGCTCGCAGCGCGACGGGGGAGAATCGACCAGCAGCGGATCGGGAAATCGGATCGAATCGGAATGTGCGTCGGATCGTGACCGAATCGAACCGGCCGCACCAGGATGCAGAGCGGCGCCATGCGAGAATCGATCGACAGAACACCGGAATCGGACACCGAACTCGAACTGGATCGATGGGATCGAAGGGGACCCTGGCCGCACGTGGCTGTCTTTCCAGGCGCCTCGAGGCGCCGAGAGGACCATGCATCGAGGAACGTGCCAAGCGGTGGAGCCGACCCCAACCGCGCGAAAACGCAATCTTATCGGGAACGAAGATGGGGGTGAATAGTCCAGAGAAGAACAATACATTTATCCAACGACGCCGAATCTCCGTGACTTCGGCGAGGCTCCCCGGCGAACACGTGTAATGCCCGCCTCTGGGCTCTTCGCCCCAATCGTCACCTCCGATCTTACCACCCCTTACCCGCCTACCCGCCCATTACTATTGGCGGCGCGCACAAATGGGGTCGAAGGAGGGGGGTGGGCTTCTCAGAAGGCGCCGACTCTGTATCCACCGATGAGGCCAGCGCCTCCTGAGAAGCAGGGATGCCTATAAGAAGCCCTGCTCCCTCCCCCCACCCCCCTCTGCGCGTGGCTGATGCCCGCCACACTTCGTCGTCGTCGCGTCGTCGTCGGCATCGTCGTCGTCGGTGCCTCCACGTGGGGGTGCTCGGCGGGCCGCAGGGTGCCCTCGGACCTGTGCCGCTTCAGCTGGGAGAAGCCTCCGTGCCTGGGCGACGACCGGGGGGGGGGGCTGCGCAAGGAGGCCTGGGGCAGAGCGGCAGAACCGGAGGGGACCGGGCGACCCCGCATCCTCTTGGGCCTATCACGACGTGCTACAGTCGGGGCTGATTGGAGAGGACAAGCGAGAGGACAGAGGACCCTTCCGAGGGCCACGCCTCAATAGGAACTGGACACGAGGCTACCCTTGATTTGGCAGGGTCGACCTGCTAATCAACCTCGACTGTATCATACGCGAAGACCATAATGTCCGAAACACAAGAAAACACAGCGCTCCCAGAGCATGTCACCGAGGTCGCAAAAGCCAAAGCTGCTTCGGCCAGACACGGTCTGAGATCATGTCGTGGAAGATCACGGGGTTATTATAACATGAGCTGGTGGGCCTAGAGGAGAGGTAACTAGGTCAGGACGCTTCGCCACTGCCAGAAGAGCATCCCATCAATCCGATTGGCTCACGCCGGGAGGCATCCACCCAAGCTCTCATGCGATTCGCCAGAGCACGCCACGGGCAGCTGTCGATCAAGTCGCCCTTCTGCGGAGGTGGCGGGGGCTGGAGGGGCCAAACGTACCGCTTCGGGGGGTGCCCGACCAGGTGCCAAATCGGCATCACCCTCGCGATTCTTATATGTGGTGAGTGCGGTGGCCAACGAAGGTGCGCCGCGAGGGCTGGGCGGCGGAGACATCCCATGGAGGTGTGGCCCAGAGTTGTCAGCGACCAGGGAGAGCTGGCTCAGGAGGGGAACGCCGACCTGGAACCGGCGCTACGTCGTCGACAGATGATTGATGGGCCTGATCTTGCTGCCACACGCTGCCCGCTCGCCCGCCCACCCAGCCCGATCCGTCCGCCCGGAGTCCAGGTCACGCGAGATGACAAAGCAGCCTTGCGCCGCAGCTTGCGCGGGCCGCCAGCGCGGCACGCCATTCTGGAGACGAGGGCGCTTACGTGCGACCCTAAGCGGACAACTTACGCGCCAGTGCCGGTGAAGACGAACCCCTTTGGGCCACACATCGGGGGGGCGGGCGGGTACCTCGATAGAGCTCGCCGCCGCGACTCGAGGAGGCCCGTCGAGAACGGCGTCGCGGCCCCCCAGGCCCCAACGTGGCCGATCGCGAGCCACACCCCTGCGTAACCACACCCTTTGTATTGAAGAAGGAACAAACAACATAAACATAAACTTTTGGCGCTCCGCGCGGATTCCCTCGATCTGCGATGGACCCCCGCGCGCCAGGGGCGGCGCCAGAGGCGCCGCCACGGGGGGCCAGCGCGGATACAAGAAATCCGCGCGGAGCGCCAAAACCTTATGTTCATGGCGTTTTTTTCCTTTCCGACTGTAGTCGCCGAAACTGGACTCCGGGCGAGCCGATCTCTTTCTGTCTCCTCGACTTTGAGGGGCAACGATAGGGGGGGAATGGGCATAGGGGGGGATGCATCGACCTGGAATCGGCGAAGCATCGTCGATAGATCGGCGACAGGCCGCCGATCGTGAATCCGCACATTCCTGGGCGGCGTGGGGCTATCGGGTCCCTATCGGCGATCAATCGGCGAATGGGGGTCGATGCATCCCCCCCTATTCGGGCGTTGGCAGAACTGGGTTTAGTGGGACCTGGTTTAGTGATCTGTACTGGGGGGCGCCCCCCCTGCCCCGTTCCGCTAACCAGAACTGCCGTCACCCGAAAAACACCAGCTACGGCAAACCTGGTTTAATGATTCTGGCCAGTTTAGGGGCTCCCGGGCCCTAACACTAACCGGGTCCCCTTAACAGGGGTCCTGGCTATACCCGACCTATGCCTATCCCCCCTATCGTTGCCCCCGAGACTTCGCGGCCTCGAGGGTGTGGCCGTGTTCCGGGCCCCGCGGGGCCGGCACAGACGGCTCGGGGGCGAGCGAGACTGCCCCTCGGGGGAGGGGGTCGAGACCTCCTCCCGTCGGGACCACGGGTGGAAATGTGGATCCGTCGAAGAGCCTGGGGCCTCAAGAGGCCCGTTCCTGCTCCTCGCCCTCCTCCCACTCCACGTCCTTGTCCTCTTCTGTTTTCTTTCGTGCCAGTCTGAGAGGCCCCTTCCTGCTCCTCGCCCTCCTCCCACTCCACGTCCTTCTCCTCTTCTGTCTCTTTCCTGCCAGTCTGATAGGCCCCTTCCTGCTCCTCGCCTTCCTCCCACTCCACGTCCTTCTCCTCTTCCCTTTTCTTGCCTGCCAGTCTGATAGGCCCCTTCCTGCTCCTCGCCCTCCTCCCCCACCACGTCCTTCTCCTCTTCTGCTTTCTTTGCTGCCAATCTGTCAAACCTTTCCTTGACAGTCGGCGGAATGGCGTAAACCTCTCGAATATCGAGCCGTCGGAAATCTGGGGAGCAGTTTGGGAACAACTCACGGAAGCTTTGGGCCGTCCCCATGGAACCCAATAGCGCGTCCACGGGCGCGCAAAGCAGACGCAGTGCGCTTTTGTGTTTGTTTTTCCCCTCCTGGCCATTGCACAGGGCGCAACCCAACCCGCAGCCTGCAAACGGGGTGCTGCTGACTGGGGGCTCGCCCTGGCTGGCAGCCCCAGCGAGAGTAAGCGCAGAAGCGGCGCCCCGCGCGGGGCAGCGTCGCCGTGGGAGGACGGAGGGCGACAGGGATTCGCCTGCACGCCTGGCCCCCAGTGGGCAGATGCTTCAGAGGCTAGGCAGGTGCCGGGGGCTGCGGAATTGGGGGGAGGGGCGAGAGGAGGCGGGGGAGAGAGGAGGACGGGATGAGGAGATGGGGGGAGGATAGTGAGGGACGGGTGAGGGAGAGGGAATGAGGGAAGGGGAAGAGGGGGGTGAGCCCTGCGAACTGGCAACTACAACGGCAGCGCTGCTCAGATGGAGCTTCTTGTTGCTGCCTCTCCGAATGCACTGCGCCGTCACTCGTGTACTCCTTTCGGCGATATTGATACGACGTGGTGGCATTGGACGAAGTCAGCACAATGGCCGACCGTGAGGCAATCTAGCCTGAGACGAACTGGTTGCGTAACGTAGCTCTTGAACCCCCCTCTGGTGGTGATGCGGCTCAGGGGATCGGAACAATGCGGAGAGGGGTCGTCGAGCTGCTTGCCTCCATTGCACGGCGTTGTCCTCGTCCAACGGCTGACCCCCGACGGCGTCTGCCTGGTGCGGCGCAGCGGCATCAAAACGACAACGGGTCAACGAAATACGCGGAAAGGCAACTGGCGTCGTGGGAGCAAGAGCCCGCGTGCACCGTCCAGGGCACAAGTGCATGGGCGCCGAACGTGCAATGTCGGGTGCCCAACCACATCAAAATATGACGGACGAACTCCCGATACCGCACGGCCAGCGCAAAAGAAATGCGCGCCCAAATGGTTCGTCCTGCTTCCTCTCCGTGTCCGTCCCCCATGCCGTCCCTGAAGTCCTCTCTCCTCGCTCCTCCTCTCTCCTCAGAACTCTGCTGGACGCAAGGGCACAGAGGCCGACATACTTATAAGACAAGCAGCCATTGAACGAAACAACGAAGAGAAAGAGAGAGAGAGAGAGAGGGAGAGCGGTCTATAGATGGAGAGGGAGAGAGGGCACGAGAGCGAGAGAGAGAGAGAGACACACAAACAAATAACGAGAACCACAGAGAGATAGAGACAGCGAGAGAGAGAGAGAGGGAGAGAGTGAACGATACATATATATATATATATCATACCCTCATGATCGTATCTGCTTCCTTTTTTGCATTCAAGCCACGAGGCGACAATCCAAGCTCGCAACGTCGCACAATGCGGGTCGGTTCACTGATCTATCCTTTCTCTCCCGTCCTCTTTTCCACCGCCTCTCTCCTCCCTGCTTCCTACATGGCATCTGGATTCGGGCAAGCCAGAAACAAACTGCAAACCATTGCGCGTACACCTGGATCGCAATATCCAACGTCCGACTGGATGGGCGGCGCTGCTGTACAGTACACGGGGCTCGCCATGCATGTTCGTAAGCGTGTTCTAGACATCCCTCCACGACAACGCATGATGTGCACACCCGCATGCGCTTAGGACCCAAGCTCGCGTATTTTGACGTATGCGAACGTGTGTCGAGGCACAATGGAAACCAGTCCACCAGAAACCTTCCACCCAACCCTGAGACCATAGAACGTTCATGGATTTTTGGGTATGGGAAACTTGCGCTCTCCATCGCAAAACCATCGAAACCCGAGAAACACAGGGCACCCTGGAGGCAAGCGGGGTGTTTGTTTCTTGACATGGGTGATAAGGGGGCGGGCGCGGCCGACAAACCCGTCGAATCGCCGGACTTCCTGGCCCTCGCCGTCCCCTGATGCTCGGCCCCCATCGCTCGTTTCCGCTTGCTCCCCATTCTCCTTCTCCTCTTCATCCTCCTCCTACGTTTCTTCCTCCTCCTTCTCGTTCTCGTCCGCCTCCTGTTCCTACTCCTCCTCCTGCCTGGGATGAGCCGCGGGGTGGGTCGCGGATGGGTCGCGAGGCGGGTCGCGAGGTGGCTCGCGGGATGGCTCGCGGGGTGGCTCGCGGGGTGGGCCGCGGGAGGGCCGCAAGGTGGGCCGCAAGCGGGTCACGGGGCGGGTCGCGGGGCAGGTCGCGGGGTGGGTCGTGAGTGGGTCGCGGGTGGGTCGCGGCGTGGGTCGCGGATGGGTCGCGGGGTGGGTCGCGGGGAGAGTCGCGGGCGGTCGCGGGGTGGGTCGCGGGTGGGACGACGGCAACACGCACACCAAAACAACAACGGGGGCCGAACGGACACTCATTGTCCCTGGGTGGGTGGCTGACGTGAGAGTCCGTGGTGAAGATTATGCTCGTTGCGTTGCTGTTGTTGTTGTTGCTGCTGTTGTTGTTGTTGTTGTTGTTGTTGGTGTTGTTGTTGGTGTTGGTGTTGGTGTTGTTGGTGTTGTTGTTGTTGTTGTTGCTGTTGTTGTTGTTGTTGTTGTTGTTGTCGTCGTCCTACCCGCGACCCGCCCCGCGACCCACCCGCGGTCCAACCCGCGACCCACCCGCTACCCAACCCGCGACCCACCCGCGACCCACCCACCCCGCGACCCACCCCGCGACCCACCCGCGACCCAACCGCGGCCCATCGGCGACCTATCCGCGACCCACCCGCGACCCACTTGCGACCCACCTGCGACCCACTCCGCGACCCACCCACCCGCGACCCACCCCGTGATCCACCCAGATTGCTTTATCAAATAAAACGGCGCCTCCGGCGGGCTCGCTGCATAATTTGTAAAATTAGGCGCCTGCCGCCACCGCCCCCTCACTCTTACCCGCATCTGCGGGGTGCTACGTATAATCAGAGTGAGGGGACCGAACGGTCATTCAGTGTGCGTGGCTAAAAATGGGGATCCGTGGTAAGGATTCTGCTTTTTTGTTGTGGTCGTCCCACCCGCGACCCACCCCGCGACCCACCCGCGACCCACCTGGGGACCCACCTGCGACCCACCCGCGACCCACCCACGACCTACCCCGCGACCTACCCCGCGACCTACCCCGCGACCCACCCGCGACCCACCTGCGACCCCCCCTGCGACCCGCCCGCGACCCACCCCGCGACCCATCCCACGACCCACCCGCGACCCGCCCGCGACCAACCCGCCACCCACCCGCGACTCACCCGCGACCCACCCGCGACCCACACCGTGACCCACCCGCGGCCCACCTGCGACCCACCCACGACCCGGCACGCGACCCGGCCCGCGACCCACCCGGGACCCCACCAGCGACCCACCCCGTGATCCACCCAGATTAATTTAACGAAAAAAACGGCACCTGCGGCGGGCTCACTGCATGTGTACAAGTTAGGCGCCTGCGGCGGGCTCCTTCCGAGCCTTGCAGGCTGACGACGTCCTTGTCGCCCCCTAACTCTTATCCGCATCTGCGGAGTGCTACGTATCCATGTATGTATGTATGCTCTGCCATCGCCCCTGTGCAATTTACTCTCTACTCTCTACCAACTACCCTCTACTATTGTCTCTTTGCTCTCATCGCTTCTATGATATATACCATCTGCTCTCTGTTTCAAACGCTCTGCTCAAGAGCTCCTCCCTTCTACTTTCAACATAGACTTCATACCTGATCTCGAGGCCCCACAAACCTGGCCTCATCAAAGAATCCGAGAATCATGGGAACCGAGACTACCGAATTCGGCAGGCCATTCTTCACCAAGTCCTTCACACTATCCACAGTGCCCTTTAAAAGGCAGCGGCTGCTTTGGGAACTTCCACCTTTTCTTATTCATATACGGATTGCGTGTGGCACTCTGGCATCTCTGGCACACTGCGCGCTGACCGGCCCTACAGACACAGGACTACGTTGCTGGCCGGACTCAAACGAAGGCAAGCCTTTTTTTAGATGTGCGGGTCGATCGTGAGAGTCCTCCAGATGCCGTGTGTCCGTACAAGCGCCTCCTACTTGACCCAGCAGACGCAACACGCAATATGTAAGGGCATATACATGCAAGTATGCACCACCTTGCTAATACAAAGATATGTGTGGATCCCTAGATCGTGCTGGGCCCCCCGACTACAGGTGCCTCCCCCGACTACAAGTACCCTCTCCCTGGACTACAAAGCCCCCTCCCCCGGACTACGGACTACAAGTATCCCCCCCGGACTACAGGCCCCCCCCCCCCCCCCTTGGACTACAAGTACCCCCTGGACTACATCCACGTGTGCGTTGACTCATGAACACGCGTTCTCCCCCAGACTGCAGGCACCCCCCCCGGACTACAAACACCCGTCCCCCAGACTACTGGTAACCCACCCGGACTCGGGGTACCCCTCCCCCGGACTACAGGCACTCTCCCCACGGATTACAGGTCCCCCCAGAGCCATCGCGGGGCACAGGGTGCACCATGTGCGCGTACCTGCTTGCACCATAGAGCCGCCACCGTGCCTCGAGGCACGGAGCGGCCGTGCCCTCAGGTCCTTTCCTGTAGTCCTCACTCCTCAGTCCCAGTCCTCTTGAGGATTAAGTCCCCAATCCCTCATCTGCACGAACGAGATGGGCACGGAAAGAATGGGTTCAATGCTCAACAGCAGTTCCTGTTCCTTTTGGACAGGACTCGCTGTCCGCGCCGCCGCGGCCTGTGTCCATTCGAGACAGAAGGCCGCCTGCCCAACAGCGGCCGCTGTTGGTTTGGGACAACATGTGTTGTTGGGTTGGGCATTGTACCCATTGTTTTCCGTACCCATTTCGGGCGTCCAGTCCCACAGCCCTCAGTCCCAGTCTTCAGGTCCCAGTCCTCATTCCCCAGTCTTCAAGACTAAGTCCTCAAGATTAAGTCCTCAGGTCCTGGGCGTCTGCCCAGGTCTTCTCTCCTGCAGCCCCAGTCCTCAATCAGGGAGCCACATGCGAACCCAAACCCTCCCCCTCAGAAATCGTGGGGGGTAGGGGTAGGGTTCGCATCTGGCTCCCTATCAACCCTTCCCTTGAGCTTCAGTCCCAGCCCCAGACCCGGACCCCCAAAGTCCCGGTTTCTCCGGGGCTTGGCGCGTGGCCTCTGGGGCCTGTCGCGTTTTACCGCGTGACTGGCTCGGGCCCAAGAGGGCCCCGAGTCGCCGGACGAATGCTCCAACGCGCTCAAGAGGCCTCCAAGACGCCCCAGGAGGCTCGTAAGGTTCTTGAAGGATGTTGGCATTCTCGCCTTTTCGGCTTTCCGACGCTTCCAGATAGCCCCCTGGAGGCCCCTAAAACAGCCCAAGAGGGCCCGAAGATAACTCAAGAGGCGCCCAAAAAGGCCCCCGAGACGGGCACAAACTGGGCCCCAAATAGGGAGCACGAAGCGAACATCCAAGCCTGCCGCACCAAGGGGCCCCCAGGAGGCTCCAAGAGGAGGCCCCAAGAGCCCCCCAAGAGGTCCCCAACAGGCCCAAAAGATGCCACAAGAGGCCCAGAAGAGGCCCCAAACGGCCCCCACGAGGCGTCCAACTCCCACGAGGTCCCAACGAACATCACATAGGCTTCATACCCACAACGCAGGCACGGTGCCGGGATGGGCCGAAGGCCAGAAGATGTGTATGTTTAAATATATTTATATAGAGAGAGACACACATACATACATATATACATACATACATACATACATACATACATACATACATACATACATACACACATACACACATACACACATACACACATACACAC